CTCTTCACCGTTGCTATCGTCCATCGGCGCCAAGTCTTGCTCAAGCTTCACCGCCACGCGGTCCATCACTCCAAAGCCTTTGACTTGCCCTTCACGCTTGCAACCGGTCCATCAAGCCAAGTCTTGTCTTGATCTTCTCCACCTTGATCACATGACTCAATGTCATGTCTCATGTGCAATAAGCTCCTTCATCATCACATGTGTGAGCTTTGCAACATCTCCAAGCCATTTTCACCTCCATGGCATATGTTGCTCATACACATGTACCTGTGGACTAATCACCTGTGTATCTCACATAAACACAATTAGTCCACCTAGGTTGTCACTCAATTACCAAAACCAACAAGGACCTTTCATCGAGCACATAGCTCCATATCCCTTGATGCCTAATAGCAAGGGACATGGAGCGCAGGCTTGCTAGCTCTAGAGCCAGAATGGGCTAGGGACGGATGGAACCGGAGGGACCTCCGGTCTCCGACATAATCCTAAACACACCCGCAATTAACACGAGCATAGTCAAACCCAAAGAATGACACGAAAATCACTTACCCTTGTTCTCGCAAAGAAGATAGAAGGAGCGATGGTTGTTCGTCGACCTCAGGGGACTCTTCGTGAAGGCGCTTCCCATGATCCATCATCAGGGGAGCGATTACGAATGCACAAGTAGAAAGGAGAAGAAGGCAGCTCAGGGGATAGGAGAATGACACCTCCCACAGTGCACCACTCCAGCGGATTTATAGCCTCAAAGATAACCTCGGCAAGCCAGGCCCATGACCATTACTCACCTCTTTGATAATCCCGCAGAATAGGAGCGGTGACTATGCGAAAGGTGGAGCAGCGGCCTCCCGTGAGATAACCCAGGTCAGGTAGGTCATGCTTGTTTTCACATTTCACATCACTTTAGTTTACACGCCTTCAATTAAAAGGCGCCTTGTTGCCCGCAAGCGGACATTCGTGAAGCTACAGGATCAAAGGGGTCATGCATCCCTAAAACATGAATGTGAAAGCATCCCGCCACAAACATGACCCCACATCATGCTTAGGAAAACTTCTCTTGGGCCGGCCCTTAGAAGGGCTCGAGGCCACAAAAGGGATAAGGGCAGGGAGAAGATGGGCCCCTACAGCTCTAATAGGTGGTGCGGAGCTACACAACCATCTCTCTCTATGTTTGAGTCATACGCTTCGAAGTCTCCTAGGTTGACCCCTCTAGGGGGGGAGGTATCTTGCCCTCTGGCCGCTACAGAGGCGGTTGGGGACCAACAGGATTGACGGCCAACGATTAATGGGACGTCTCATGTGAGGCATAGCCGAACTCCACATCGATTGGGGAGGATATCAGGTCCCACTCAAATTACCCATCGACCCCAACGAGGCGCACCGCTCTAACCACGTGGTTACGGTGGACAAGCCCCTCCCACATGTGGCAAAAATTGAAACCTGCGTGTAATAAGGTAGAATGACCCTTTGGAGTCAGGAAAGGGCAACGCAATGAAGACAGAGCCTAGCCTGAGCGGTCCTGATAGTCGAGGCAGGACCGTGGCCAGCTCCTACCTACAACCCAAGACCATGACCCAAAGCAAGGTCGCAAAGCCACACGCACCCCCAAGAACCGGTGACCCTTTCAGAAGGGGTCACTGCCGTAGGCGGCTAAAAATCATGTCACAGCGTCTTCCTCATGAAGTATCGCTGGAACTCGCAGATGCTCGGGAGGAGAGGTTCGAGGTCGCTCAACGACCTCGTCGCCCAGCATGATGAGAGGCCAATGACTCATCCGAAGCCTACATCCGTCATCTCATAGACACTCAGGAGGAGAGGTCCAAGGTCGCTCGATGACCTCATTGCCCTATGCGATGAGAGGCTAATGACTCACCCGAAGCCTGCATCCTCTGGCTCACAGACACTCAGAAGGAGAGGTCCCTGGTCGCTCGATGACCTCATTGCCCTACATGACGAGAGGCCAATGACTCACCCGAAGCCTGCATCCTTCGGCTCGTAGACACTTAGGAGGAGAGGTCCAAGGTTGCTCGATGACCTCGTCGCCCTGCGCGACGAGAGGCCAATGACTCACCCGAAGCTTGCATCCTCTGGCTCGCAGACACTCAGGAGGAGAGGTCTAAAGTCGCTCGATGACCTCATTGCCCTATGCAATGAGAGGCCAATGACTCACCCTAAGTCTGTGTCTTCCTACCCGCAGACACTCAGGAGGAGAGGTCCAAGGTCGCTCGACAGCCTCGTCGCCCTACACGATGAGAGGCCAATGACTCACCCTAAGTTTGCGTCCTCCTACCCACAAACGCTCGGGATGAGAGGTCCAAGGTCGCTCGATGACCCCATCGCCCTGCACGACAAGAGATCAATAACTCACCTGAAGTCCACATTTCTGGACCCACGGATTTAGATCTGGCCGAACGGGTCGAAGACCGATGAGGTCAAACCCAAATAATGGTGCAGGGAAGAAGAGAGCGGCAGGGAGGCTTGCGTTTGTTTGTTACATGTTCGCCTTGCAACTGTTACACTCAAGCCCCATAGTGTCGCAGACCCAGGGATCAGAGTGCAGGGAAGAAGAGAGCGGCAGGACTGCCTAGCTCCAACAAGCACCTTGGCGACCACTCTAGCGCCAAGATGGAGCAAAAGGGGGGCCAAAGTGCAGCCATGTCACAAAGGCTGCACTATCCCCTACACAGCAGCCATGCCATCCTCTCCTTCTCTGCTAGCAAGATCCCTTCTAGCACTAGCCGTTAAAAAGGGAGCCACCTCCATCTCTCATCCCCGCGATCTCTTCATGGGAAGTTGGGCGAAATTTGCAACTACGGCCACGGATGATGCGAATGGAAGAAAAGCCCCAATTTATAGGTCCAAAGGTGGATCAAACGACCAGGGGCCCCAACGCCACGTGGCATGCCACGGAAGGCCACAGCCAAGGTCAAATGCCCACATAAGGGCAAAGAAATCTGGGCCTCCCAAAATAGGAGCCATAATAGGGGTCGACGAGACCACACGGCTCCGCTCGGGTCACGAACCCCGGAACATGTCACACTAATATGGCAGGGCTCATCGATCAAGAATCACATCATCAGGATGCCCGGACGAGATAGGGCACAACATCCACCTACCACATTGAATACACTAGTCCGCAAGGGGTCAAGCAACAAAGCTCGGAAAGGCCGTGACTACGAACCTGCGCTCCAGCACACACGAGCATCAGCGCTTTCACGATCACTTTGTGATCGCAAAAACGCTTGGGGGCTACTATCGGGGTTGTAACCCCGGGGTGTCTTAAGGCACCGATTAGTTAGCAGGCCACGCGGCCCACAACACAATGGCTAACAAAGGCTTGAACGATCGAGGCCTAGCGAAAGCTGAGCAAGCGGGTAAGGCGCCAAGGCCAGGGTCATCCCCAACCTCTTCCACCCGCCTTAGCACACAGCGCTCACAAGAAGCACAACCTCTCCCCATCACGACCCCTAGGAGGGATGGGGGAAGGTTGAGCGTGGTTAGGTGCGCCTGCTCTGACAAGAGCAAGCACGCCGCACTAACCCATAAGGACCGAGGGGACAGCAGTCACCTAAGCTCGATCAGACACCGTCCCTATGCCATGCCGCACCGACAAGATAACACCGCACCACGGTGGCAATAGGTATGACACCCACCATCCAAATACGGACCAACTAGACACTTGTATGATCCCACCCACTACGGGATGGGATCCACGATAAGGGACTCAATGAAAAGGCCATTCAGACTAGCAGAGTACCCCGACCCCAACGATCAGGGTCATGGCTCTCAGTCCTGTAAAGCCACGAGGCAAACAACGACCCGGGACGGTTACCTACTTTGGGTAAGACACCCCTGGGAACTAGGAGACAATGATGAAGGCCACGACGAACACCGCGTTGCACAGGACGGCTGATGAACCATCATCGAGGCTACAATGCCGTCATAGCCAGCACAGTAGTGCCATGTCGCATCCTGCCGCAACGTGGCCAGAAGACCATGACGATAGCCATGACCCGATGTGCACCAAAAGATGGCATACCTTGCAAGCCAAGTTAGCTAGGCCCTCCCTCAGGCTCTCGACCCTTCGGGCAGGAGAACCTCCTCTTTGTATAAGCCCTGGCCCCGAACTCTATATAAGGGCAGCCAGGGCACCCATCTCGGGGACGACTCACATCCTCTACCATTCCATTCATTCACCATCGTAGTAGGGCTCCTAGAGCCTCTCTTCATGTAGCCCTACGCCTACCATAGGTCCTTCAATCTCTTCCTCCATTCTTGCACCCCCAATTGTAAGAACTTCAGAGCATTCAAGCGAGGAACACGCACTCGATCATCTCTAAGACCGGACGTAGGGCTCCGACCTAAACTAGTATAAATCCTCGTGTCCATTGGATGCTACCATCACCTTACAAGAGCAGTGCGGCAATCGTATAAGTTTACTAGTCTAGTTTATAAAACACCGACACATCCACAAAGAGAAGGTGACTCACCATCGGAGCCAAAGGAGCCACCCGAATTCCCATGAGATCTGATGACCGAGAAGAAAATTTTAAGAGGCATGAAAGGCCCTCTGCTGCAAATAAGAAGAGATAGGGGAAATTGGATCCCTTTGACAAATGCCCGGGAGGGTTTGAACCCTTCCAGCTTGTTGCCATTCAATATCACCGAGAAAGAGACCGAGCAAACCAGTCTCATGATCATATCAACCATAGACGATGGAAACCTAGCCTGATCATAATCTTTTGTAGGTAGTCCCAGTCCAGTCAATCATATGCCTTCCGCATATCAAGTTTCAAAGCACAGAAACAACTGTCCCTTGCCCCCTTCTTCTTCATATAATGCAAGCATTCATAGGCTATAATTATGTTGTCGGTTATCAGCCCGCTAGGCATGAACGCCGACTGCTCCTCTGATATAATTTTAGGTAGAACGGTTCGAAGTCTATTTGCTACCGTTTTAGAAGCTATCTTGTAGATCACATTGCACAAACTTAAAGGCTGAAACTATCCTAGCTCATTAGGATTCTCCACTTTTGGTATTAGGACAATATTCATATTATTGAGCTTTCCAGGATCATCAACTCCAAGCAACACTCGCAACACCACAGTTGTGACCTCAATGCCACAAAGGTCCCAATGCTTCTGAAAAAAATGTGCTGGAAAGCTGTTCGGGCTAGGAGCTTTAGTCGAAAACATTTGGCACCAGGCATTCTTCACTTCTTCTAGACCAATCAGCTTTAATAGCATATCATTCATTTCCCCGGTCACTTTGGTCGGCACCGTGTCCAGCAGCTGATCAGTGTCCGCTGTCCCCTCTGCCGTGTATAAGGACCGATAAAACTCTGTAGTCATGGAAGCCATCACCGCTTCGTCTTTAGTAAAACTTCCATCCACCATCTTTAATTTGGAAATCTTGTTCCTCCACCTTCGTTGAGATGACCGAAGGTGGAAGAAATGGGTATTCCAATCTCCCTCAGTAAGCCAAGTGACACGAGAACATTGTTTCCACATTACCTCCTCGCGATGATTTAGCTCCACAATTCTATCTGCGATCTTTATCACTTTGTGGGATGGACCCAACCTATGAGAATCAGAACGAAGCCACTCCAAACCCTCTTTCAAACCCTTTAGCTCTCTTATAACACTGCCAAAGGTCGAAGTCTCCCAGCCACCGAGATGCTTGGATACGACAACCATCTTGTTCTGAAGCCCCTCCAAATCCAAAACTAGCGGCTGGCTCTCCCACGCTTGGGAGAGAGAATCATGAAACCCTATGTGTGATTCCCACATTAATTCATACCTGAACTACTTCTTTTGTCTCCTCACATTGGAGTTTGTCCACTCGGCACATCTGATGTAGACAAGTCTTGATCTTCCGAAAGGTATGATAGCGTCGATTGGTGGAGACTCGATGTTCATGATCTAGGCTTTGAACCAAGACTGATTCGGACCCTCACAACCGTTATACCACTGCTCCATTGGTTATCAACCACGTGAACGCGATTGACCTCGCCGAGAAGGCTTTCCTGCAAGTGAATCGAGAACACAAGCAAGAACGAGATGAACGCAATCTGAAATTGCAAATAAATATGAGGCTTATGAAAATAAAAAGGAGTTCAAGTCCTTATTCGAAAGGACTAATCGCCACAGGCAAACAAGATCAAGAACTGGGGCCCTGGTTCACAACAAGCGGCCTTGGCGGCGACAGTTGCAGCAAAAAGACGTCTGTTTCACGAGGAAATCAAGAACTAAACAAAACCCAAACCCTAAGGAGAGCAACGGCTGCTAATTATAGAGTCTTAGGTGTCACCCCCTGGACACGCCCCCTAATGGGCCCAAACACGATACACGGTCCAACGAACCAAAATATGGTGTCGCAGCACCCTGACAGATTCTGGATGCTGAATTGTTTCGACGATTCCCATTGATTCTGAAGGTATTTTGATGTGAGACCACTTGGATTGGCTTCCTTATCAAATTAGCTTTCCAACCATATGTGGATCGTCAAAAATGGAGTCCGGATGCGTCCTGGGTGACCAGTTTAAGGTAGACTGGTCCTAGGGGCCGAGGCAGACTCGAACTTGAGTTGCTTTGGGCCTCCACTTCGGGGACTCGAACTGAATTAACCACGGACCTCCTTCTTGACTTGGACACCCTAGCTGGCCTCCTACCCCTCCATACCCTATGCCAAACATGGTCATATGTATGGGTGTCATGTCCTCATCATCCTCCCCTTTCTTGACGAAAAGCCGTCCTCGACGTCGATTGCGCTTGAAACTGATCCTGCACAACATAAAGGAGAACGGGGTTGCGAAGACAAAGAAAACTGAAATAATTGTGAGAAGGAACGTGACCATTTTTCTTAGCATGTCATCTCGCATAAAAATTTTAGCAAGCATGTAGACTCCATGATCCGAATGCACACGATGTATGTCAACACTATCCTGCAAAAGATTAGAACTAACCAAAGACAATGCAGGAATAGATGGTCTAGCAGACATAGGTAGCAACCAACAATGCTCCCTTTCTTGGAAGTGAACTTATTTCTTTGAGGAACATGAGAAAATGTTTGTATTATTATGGCTGCCCTCTAAACGATCATAATCTTGTACAAAACCGACCAAATTATAAGAACGTAAGTACAAAAACAATCACCGAAGTGATCAAATTCCTGTACTTAAGCTCCCATAATCCCGGTAGTCCAGAAATCACGAAGGATTTCAAACAACTCTCGACATACAAACCAAGACCGTAGTGATTCAACACAACACATCATTCGTTACAACATTTCACAAGTGGCATCCGGATTACATCCATCAGAGTGCGAATAAAATATTACAAACCAATTTTAAATTTGCGGAAGCAACATAGTTTAGTACATAACTTCATAGTTTCAAATACATTGCCAGATCTTAGTCATGTCCTACAAAAGCATTATCAGGTACGAGAACTAGGAGAGACCGCGCCCAACGGTCTAGTCTTCATCCTCAGCCGGGAGAAGGCAATACTTGCAGCAACTGAAGTAGAACTGGTCATCTGCAACAGGTGGGAGATAAACCCTGAGTACGAGAAGGTACTCAGCTAGACTTACCCGTCAAAACTAGAAATAAAAGACACCAAGGGTCATGCAAGGCTTATGAGTTGGGCTAGCTTGACACAGTTGCATAAAAGAGCTTATGAATATAGTGACCAATTTAAACTTAGCATCAAGCTTATCATCATTTACCTGTCCACTAGATTAGCACCTGTACTAGAGCACTCACTTATTAGGAGCAATCAATATTAACCATAGCAGGTATAATAAGACTGTCATCGTCATATCATCATTTCTGAACCATTATGTTATTTAGTGTATCTACTTTGGAGATAAGCCCGTCAAGTTCTCACTAACCGGGAGAGACGGCGACTCGAGTCGAATTACAACTCAGCTGAGGGGGTATTTCTAACTCTCACCCTGGCATACTTTGCAAGGGTAGCCATGGGTCACCTTTGGGACAACTCAGGAACCAAATTCGCGGGTTCGATCAGCGCCAGCACTCTCAGGGATTACCCTTCTGCCAGGACGATCAGGACTTTTAAATCACCTGTCCTTGGACTCACGCCTATGGCTCCCTTCCGAGGCGCACTTTATACTTATCGACTCCCGGCCTGAGGTGAGCTACTCAGCTTCGTGGTCGTTCTTCAGACACTGCCAACTAAGAGAGAGGCATGCGTTCAACATGAACAGGAAAGGCTCCAAGATTCAGTCCTTAAATGACACAAACGGAGTCACTACAAACCGGCAAGCCTCCACCCAGTCTTTATTTCAAATTAAGACAGGTTCTTTTCCACGATAGCAAATATAGCCAACCGTGCCATATGTATATTCCTATATCTCGCAGGTGACAGGAAATCACCTGACTTCTACCGCGTTTAAGCAGGGCTAAGCACTACACGAGCCTGAGCTACATAGGATTCAGGATATCAATATCTGGACAAGGATTGGATAACCAATGCAGCAAGTGTTTGCATCCAACACCTAAACTTAATGCAACAATATATATATATGTAACAATAATACTTTAACTGCATTTCAGAAATTAGGAGACTTAATATGCTCCGGGGCTTGCCTTTTACAAAGTTGCACGGACGGTGATCTGGGCACTCAACGGTGATCTCGTCTGGCACTTCTCCTGAGGGCTGCACCTCTTGAACCTCCGGTGTTGGCTGCTGCTGCTCCCCTCTCGGTTCCTCGAATTCCAGCAGTGTCACTCCTTCCGGTACACCTATTGCATGCCGATGCACAAGATAAATATCATGGATGCATAAGGAATGACATGATGCTCATGATGAATGGATCACAGTAAGTGTTTAACAAAAACATCACTGGACACTCGTTTACCGATTAAGAATAGCTCTATTCAAATCACTTTAAAACATGTATCTAACTTAACTTGAAGAACTAGATCAACTTACCTAACTTGCATAAACTAAGATAAAGATGCTCATCTTCAGTTAAAGGCCTAACACCTAGGAACATTACCACAAGCTTAGGAATAGTAAAGGTATACTTAATTCAAAAGTTAAGGTTTCATATGCAAACGAGCAGTTTCTTAATTCAATCACAACAAGAGTTCTATAATTTCAAATGACTTGCAAGAGGACATTCTGGAAAGCTTATGAAATTGTCTACAAATCATTTGTAAACATCAAAGCATGATTCTTACGTTAACCAAATCGAATTAAAGTAAACATAGAATCTGTCCAGAAATGACAGGTTTACTAAATTAATTATTTAGTGATGATGCAAAAGCATAATTGGACCAAACCAAGTTTACCAACTTGTTGTACATACCAGAGGAACATCAGAAAGTATAGTGCCAACCTCTAAATAAATTATTTAATGTTCTTTTCTAATTTATTTAGTTAATTAGGTGATTAAAGCAACATATAGTAAAACTGTACAGAAAAATCTACAAAAATTACAATAGCTACCTCATGCTTCACATAGACTACCATAAAAATTTCAAAGCAATTGGGTAAGCAAAACTTGCTGTATCAAAAATAACAGATGGCAGGTCTATTTCTAGCATAATTAGGAAACCCTATTGAAAAGTATCAAGCAACAGATTTCTCATTTTTTTCTAGTATCATTCTAGCATAAGAATAGCATTCACCAATTTTTACCTTTACTGGATCTATAGAAAAATTATGAAAATTCATACAAGATCCATCCATGCAAACAAGAGAATTACCTAACTCCTACATACAGTGTCCAAAGTGTATGAAAATTTAACTACAAGCTATTCATGATATGAGCAGTACACCATAAAAATTTCATGCCATTTGGAGCTACACAGAAAAAGATATAATTACCCCTATTTCCCACATGATTAAAAGAGATAATCAGCAACCTCATTTTTCATAACAAAACATGGCATAAATTATATTTTTAATATAAACTAGACATTACCAGAAACTCAACAAAATTGGAACCATATCATTTGGATCTACCAACCAAGAGATATACATTTTTGAATATGTACACAAATCTGTGAAAAAGAATAAAACAAAACAAAATGAAAAACCTAACCACTCTTCACTTTGGGCGGCCTTGAAGAACACGGCGACCCACGGCACGCCACACACAACAGCAATGCTGTGAAATGGCGCTGCCCACACCCGGCTCCCTTTCTTGTGTGGCGGTGACGACGAGGGGCCCGTCGGTCGAGAAATGAGACAGGGAGGGAAGAAGAACGACGGCGTAGCTCGTCGCCGATGGCAGCTCCGGCGAGGCCATCAGTACCGGCGTGTTCACCCCACCCATGCGCACCTAGGGGTACCATCAATCGCGGCTATTACGGTGGCTAGGGGAAATGGCGACGGCCATGGCGGCGCACGGTCGCGGGTTGGCCAGCTCCGGCGAGGTCCGACCCCGTAGGGCGCGGCTAAGCTCGGTACGAGCTTCCGGAGGTCGCTACCATGCTAACCAAGAAAAAAGGAGGGGATGGGAAGGCCTCGGTGGTAGTTGGCCGCGTGGAGCGCCAACTCCGGCGAGGTCCCGTCATGGCGGCGGTGGTGGAAACAGCGAATGCGCCCATACCAATACCTAATCGACACGGCTGGGAGGTGGAGGAGATAGAGGAGAACACGGCGAAGCTATGGACGAGTTGGCCGACGCGTTTTTGCGGTGGCGAGCGAGCTCGAGCTCGTCGGAG